AATAAAAATAAAAATAAATAAAAAATATGATAAATACAGAATATATATATATTTATGTTTATATTTTATTATCAATTGTAGTCATTTTGTATGAAATATTAATGAAATAGAAGATTTGATGAATCATATTTATTTTTATTCTTTTTATTATTTTATTTATATGTTATTTATTTATCTATCGTATTTTTATATATTTATATCTTTTTATATTTATTTCTCTGTTTATATTATTTATATCATTGTGTTATTCTTATTATCTATATATTATTATATTATTCTTATTTTATGTTTTTTATGTTTATATTATTTAGAATTTCTTATTGTTATTCTTTTATATTTAGATTTATTTGTTTATTCATCTTTATCATCTTTTATATTATTATCATTTATATCTATTTTCATTTTATATTTATTCTCTTTTGTTTTATATTAATATTAATTTTATCTTTTATACTTTTTATTTATTATTATATCATTGATTATCATTTCTCCTTTTATTTATCATTTATTCTTATTATTCTTTTGTTTTTATATTCTATATCATATATTCATATCATTTTCATTTATATTTTATCACTTATTATATGTTATAATAACATAACACATATGATTGATTATATAATAAACATCATGATGAAGTTATACATATAAATAATAAACATAAAAAAGAGTAAAATATTTTTCATCAATAAAATAATATTAATCATTATACATCATTAAATTAGACACTTTTATTTCATATTTCTAATTTTTACAATAAAAAATACACTTTTTATTTCTTCTTTCTTTTCATCTTTTATTATCTATTCTATTTTATTACTCTTTATCTTCTTTTTATATTCTCTATTCTACTTTTATTCTTTCTTCATTTTCTTCTACTTCTTACTTTCTTTTTATTCTTTTATATCTTTCTCTTCTTTTTCAATTATTTGCTTTTTCTTTGATAAAGAAAAGTATGAAATGACATGGAATAATGTTTAAAATAAATCAGAAAGAAATAAAAAACAGAAGAATAAAAATAAAGAATAAAATTATTACAAAACAAATATAAAGAATGAAATATCATTTAATAAGAGATGAAATATCAATTCAACACATTGAAACAATCAAATAAAATAAAATAAATTAAAAATGAATAAACATAACATATTAATAATTAAATAAATGATGAATGATTTTATTATATTTCATTCATTTGATATTTCATTCTTTATTTTATTATCAATTAATTTGTTTATGATGTATTTCTTATCATTTAAATTATAAAATGAAATTTATTTTTATTCTTTAATAATTCAATTATCTTCTTTCTTTATTTCTTCTTTATTATTCTTCAAAGCAATATTCTGGTATTGTTTTATTCTTCTTTAATTCTTCTTCACATCTACAATGATAAAAACATCCCTTTCCAAATGATGTAATTGATGATGGTATATTAATTGATGTTAATGATGTACATTCTTTAAAACAATAGTCTCCTATTTTACTTACACTTGTTGGTATATTAATTGTTTGTAATGAATAACAATATTCAAAACAATAATCTCCTAATTTAGTGATTGATGATGGAATAATAAATTCATTAATATCTTTCTTTTCAATATTCTTTCCATTTATTATTGTTAAATTTTCTAGTATTTTAATACTAATTAACACTGGTTCATTCATAAATATTCTTTTTTCACTTATATATTTCACATCTTCTATATTAATTGATGTTAATGAATAACATTCTTCAAAACATCTATTTCCTATTTTAGTTACACTTGGTGGTATATTAATTGTTGTTAATGATGAACATCCATAAAAACAACATTCTCTTATTTTACTAACATTTGTTGGTATAGTAATTGTTTGTAATGATGAACATTTATAAAAACAACTATCTCCTATTTTACTAACATTTGTTGGTATAGTAATTGTTTGTAATGATGAACATCTTTCAAAACAATAACTTCTTATTTCGGTTACACTCGTTGGTATTTCAATTTCTTGAATATCATCACAGAGGCTAAAACACCAATATCCAAGTGATGTAACTTCATTTGGTATTGTATTTCCATATTTCTTTCTATCTTCTTGTGTATATTCAATATTTTTATATTCATTCATTTCTTCTTTCTCTTCTAAATATCTTGAATAATCTACTTTATACCATATTACATATTTAAATATTCTTCCATCTTCAAACACTTCATCATATATATTATAAATATGAAATGTTTCAATATTAGGAAACAATTTTCTTGAATATTGATTCAATGGAATTGGATTAAAATGAAATCGTTCCATATTTCCTTGAAATCTTTTAACTCCAATTTCTAAATTAATAAAATCATTAATATCATCAAAATACTTTGAGACAATCATTATTTCATTATATCCTAATTGCATTCTTTCTTTATTATTTTATTATTTATTAGTTCTTTTTTTATTTTTAGTTTGAACTTAAATTTATTTTTAAGATAACCGTCATTCAATTTTTCTTCTTTTTATTTTTTAATATAAATTATTAATAACAAATTATTTATACCTCAATAAATTATCATTTATTATTATTTATTATTTATTTGATGAAAATGATTAAATAAAATATCATAGAAATGAAATATTACAAATGATAAATATTCAATTAATAAATATAACAATAAATTGATAATGTGAATAACAAAGAAATGAATAAAACAGTGAATGTAATGTATTTATTTCTATCTTTCTTTATTTCAATCACTTCAATTTTAGAAATCTCATTTTTTAATTTATTTTAATTATTTCTTATATAAAACATTATATGATTGAAATTTATTAATATAAATTAATGTAATATCATATTTGACTTTAATTGTAATTTAATACATATAATATTCATATTAATTCATTTTATATTAAATTATTAATGATATTACATGAAATATTTCATTATAATGTTATTTCTCTTTTTTTTTAATTTTATTTATCATTTGTAATTTATAATTCATTCATTATTAATTTAATTTAATTACATTCACTATTTCTATTATCTTATTTATTTCTTATTTGAATTTGTTATTTATTTTGATATTTATTTTATCTTCTTTGTATTTTAGTTTGATATTTGTTTTTATTATGATATTGTTTAATTCTATTTGAATTAATGATAAAGTAATTATGATGAAAATGAATGAAACAATGAATGAAATAACTCATATCATATAATTGTTATTATAATATAAATAATATTTATTTTCATTCATTCTTCTATCATTTATATTTCTGATTGATATGAATTTCTCTTTTGTTATTTATTTTTATATTATTTGTATGATGTTTCGTATTATTTATCGTTTTCCATATAATTAATATTGTAGAAAATAAATAAAAGAGTTTAGAGTTAAGTTTATATCACTGTAAATAAAAATTTTAATAAATAATAATTTCAATTAATTTCTTAATCCTTTAAAATAGGAGGAGACAATTTTTGTATAATCTTTTTCATCGTTCTTTTTTTCATCCATAATGCCTTAAACTTATTTACTCTATTTTTAATACTAATAAGTCTATTCTCTAATAATTTTATCTGTGGACCATCAACATTCATAGTCAAGTGTATTATAATAATACATACATCTGATAGATTAGTTACTAGAACAATAATACTCTTGATAACACTCAATATTTTCTTTATTTCTCGAAGGACCTTACTTGTTTTTATAAAGGATTTAAGCATATCTGAAAATTCTTTGTCAATACCTTTTTGAATAATTCTAAGCATATCTTTTGGAATGTATAATATCTCTTCCAAATAATCACTAACAGTGGTTTCATGATTCTGATACCCCTTATGAGTTTCATGGCAATGGAACATATCTAAACAACTCATTTGAATCACAACTCCAAATAATATAGCAGCAACTTTCAAAAATAAGAACATAATAAAAAAGAGTTCAAATTTTTCCTTTTTAAATCACTGAGATGGCGTTAAAAAAAATAACTTTTTTAATAGATGCCAAGAAAAATACAGAATTCCATTATTTATAAAAAAAACATGTTGGCTAAATAGTTTTCCAAAAATCATTTATTGCCAGAATGATTTTTTGCTCAACCCTTTCATTGGCGTAAAAAAAATGACAAACTATATCTTTAATATACGTTAAATTACAAAATTTTATTTAGAAGTTAAATAAAAATAATAAAATAACAATTTCGGAATTAAGTGTTAATAGAATTTTCATCCATTCTTCCTTGCCCAGCAAAGACTAACACCATCCATTTGCTGTTTTTAAAAAGAATAATTTATTGTTTAACTTATTCTTTAATTTTCTTCTTGAAATATGAGTAAATCATTTGCTTTTTCTTTATTTGTTTTATACTATTCTCTTCTCAAACTTCTTATTTTTATTTTTAACTTCTTGTTTTATTTTTAAACAACATCATTTTTTTCTTCTTATTTTATGATGAATGGATCTTTCATTATTATTATTATATTATTTATCTAGTTTATTTTATTATTAATACAATCATTTATACCATTAGATTTGAGAATATTCAATGTATATTTCTAAATTTGTTTAATAATTAGTACTATTTTGTATATTACAACAAATAAAATTCTCTAATAATACCTGATATTGAGCTTTCAATAATTGAAAAGAAGTTTTATATGAAAAAAATGTGCAAAAAATAAGAATGAGAAGGATATAGAATTATTTTATTTTTAATATTTGAGAAAAATAACCTATTACGAAATTCAAATTAACTCAAAAAAAAATACATAAAATAAAAATTAGTTAATAACTATCTATATTTACCAAATAACAAATCATAACAATAAAAAAGAAAGAAAAAATATTCTAAATTACTTTTGTGAGATAAGAAGAAATATTTATTTTTCAAAACAAGTTCAGTTAATTTTTAAGAAATGTCAAAAACTAACAAATTAAAAAAAAAATAATAATACATATATTATTAATTTTATTATTTGAATTTAATTTAAAAGAAAAATCTAATCTATTTGAAAAATCTAAACTCTTTTATTTAATTCTTATTATGTTACTTCTCTTACTTATTACACTTACATCAGCTCTTCAATGCAACGAATTATTACCAAACAAAATGTATAGCGTTAGTGATGCTTTTGAATGTATTGAGTCAGTTAAAATTAATAATACATTTACACAGTATGTTCAAAAAACCCTTCAAGTTTTATTTGAGACATATGTTTATAAAGACATTTTAAAATCACCACCACAACCTTCATTTAATACAGAGTTTTATACTACAGTTGATATTGATGAACGACTTAAAAACCTTTCATTAGAAGAGACGTCTTTATATAAATTTATGCAAGAGATTCAGTCAATAGTAAATGATGCTCATGACTATCACCTTTCATTTAGACTATCATCTAATAAAGACAACCATTATTATTATGATTTTATGTATGCTGTATTACCATTTATACCAGATATTGTTGATAATGAAGTTGTTCTTTATAAAAATCCAAATTATGAAACATTTGACTCTCAAATTCCACAAACTATTATTGACAATGTTAATATTCCTGTTACAAGTATCAATGATATGTCTCCAATTGACTTTATTAAAAAATTTGCTTCTGAACAAACATTTCTTAAAACACCTCATGGCAGATTTACTTATGCATTAGAGACAATGAGTTTTATTGAATTGAGAAGAACTGTAATGGATAAAAGTGTTTTAGAAGAACCAATCAAAATTACTTATTCTAATAATCAAACAGTAACTATCAATTATAATATTCTTTATATTCCTTTAGAAACATTAAGTAAAGAAAAACAAAAAAGAATTAATGCTAAAAGAAATGGTTATAATGATGCTATTATAACTATTGATGATTTTGTTGATAATCCAATGAGAAATAATCCAGGATTGTATGATTATCAATCATTAGATGGTAACTTGGCTTGTAAAATTGATAAAGATATGATGATGAATGTTATGATATTAAAAACATTCTATCCTGTTGAAGAAGTTATGAATTTTGGTGAAGTTATGAATACTTGTATTAGTTCATTTGATAATAATGAATATCCAATTACTATAATTCTTCCAATGAATGGAGGAGGGTCTGGTGATCTTGTTTCCAGTGTACAAGATACATTTGCCCCACAAGGAGATTCTGATATGATTGGGTCGGTGAGAATTTCAAAAGGAACAGAAGGATGTATCAAATATGGATATGGTAGTTATCTTCAAAACCCAGAAAATTGTCAAGAAAGATTTAACAGCTCTGATCCTAACTCAACTGAATTAGGAGAATGGTATAACTCACCAAAAATCACTTATTATGGAACAGTAGAACATAAACGTACTCAAGAATCAATTCTTCATTCAATGGATTTAATTAAAAATACATTAGAAAAACATCCAAGAGATCCAACAGATATTATTATTATGACTGATGGATTTTGTTATTCTGCTTGTAGTGTATTAACAAAAGCAATGGTAGAACAAGGTAATGCTATTGTTGTTGGTTATGAAGGAGATCCAAATGGAAAAATTGAAGAGTTTGATGCTGGTAATTCACCAACAGCAGTTGTAACACAAAATGAACTTCAGATTCCTGAAGCTGATAATTTAAAAAGTATTAATGGTGAAATGAGAATTTCATTCATAGAAACATTTGCCTGGGACTATTCATTTAATCAAACAATTCCAAGAGAATTTTTAATTCATCCAGTTGATGAAAGAATTAACTTATATAAATTCTTTGATAATAAACTTGGACAATTTATAGCCAAAGCAAAAGACATTCATGCTAAGTATCAAAATGAATGTAATCCAAATAATAAAAGATTAGTTAAATATTCAAAAGAATGTGACCAACAAATATCTATGGAACATGCACATGGAGGATTTAAATGTGGTGATGATGGTAAATGGAGTAATCAATGTGTTGCTGCTTATTGTGACAAGGGATATAAATTTGATTTTTATAACCAAAAATGTATTGTTGATACCTGTGAGGCTAAGGATGAATCTACTGACTCTTCTCAACAATCAGAATCATCAGAGAATAGTTCTTCTCAACAATCAGAATCATCAGAGAATAGCTCTTCTCAACAACCAGAACCACAACCACCAGAAGATAGCTCTTCTCAACAATCACAATCATCAGAAGAAAGTTCTTCTCAACAAACTTCCTCTTCTTCAAGTAATTCAACAAATGATAAAACTATGTTATACATTATTATTGGATGTTCTGTTGGAGGGGTATTGATTTTACTATTATTAATTATTGTGGTAGTTTCAGTCATTATTTACAGAAAACGTCATTCTGGTTCTCAATACTCATTAATTCAATAATTTTTTTCTTTAATTAAACAAAATTCTTTTAATTAAAAAGTAATATGAATAACTAAATAGTTGTAAATAATTGATATCATAATACAATTAATTATTTTTTTTTTTATTACCGTCATTTATACTTAAAAACAAAAAAATAAATAAAGGAATAAAACATTAAAATAATTGACTTATTTATCTAAATTAATACATTATTGAATTTATTATTATCAAATATACTTTATTATATTATAGTATTTGATTCGTAAGATAATTTGAAAATTTAATAAACTAAATAATATTTAATATAAAACTTATTATTAGAAATAATTATTTTAATAAAATGAAAAACTACAATTTCCTATGAAACAAAAATTTTGAATTTAAAATATCTAAATTTAAAATATTAACACAAAAAACAACTTAAAAAAAAGAGTAATTTTTTTCGAAAGTAGTATTTTAAATTATTTTAATTTATTATATAACTCTCTCCTTTATTAATTTTAAAGAAAATTAATGAAATACTAAAAAATTAACGTTGAATGTGAGTTAGTTAATAAATTTTATTTCTTTCCTTTAGTTCCAGTACTTCTTTTTGAACTTTGTCTTCTTGGTGCTTTAGGTTTTGAACTTTGTCTTCTTGGTGCTTTAGGTTTTGAACTTCCTGATGATCTTCCTTTTCTAGAACTACTGCTATGGCTATGACTTCTTGATTTATTACCTTTTGTATCACTGAGTTTGTCACTAAATTGACTAACTTTTTTTGCAGTTTTAGAAACTCCACTTGCTCCTTTTTGTATAGCAGATGCAAATTTTCCAAATTTTCCTTCTTTTCCAGCAAATTTACCAGCAAAATTAGCTACTTTATCTGCTGTTTTTCCAAGTTTATCAGAAAACTTTCCAACTTTTTTAGCAACACCACCAACAGCATTTATTGCCTTATTAGTTTTAGTTTGAACTTTTCTACTTATTGCTTGTCCTTTATCAAGTCCTTTATTTACTTTAGTTTGAACTTCTTTCACTGTTTTTTGAGTTTTATCAATTACATTATTTGCTTTCTTTTGAGCAGCAGCAACTTTACTTTGAGCATTATCAACAACTTTATTAGTTTTCTTTTGGAAATCATCCATTTTTTTAGCGGCGTCTTTATTAAAAATACCAACAACTCCTTTTCCAACGTTCATAACTTTATTAAATCCACTTTGAAGTTTATCAGTAACTTTTTGTCCTTTGTCAATAAAGTTATTAACAGTCTTTTGAGCTTTATCAATTTTTTGGTTAGCTTTATTAAGAAATTCATTTCCTTTTTTCTGGTAATAATCAATTTTATCGTTTGCTTTATTAACAAGCTTATTAAATCCTTCTTGGATTCCTCCAAGAGACCAATCCTCTTCCATATCAACAAACTCATCAAGATAATCAAGATAATCATCAAATGCTAACAAGTCTTCTTCGTCATATGTAAAAGCAGAGCATATACAAGAGAGGGCTATTAAAGCAAAAAACATAATAATATAATTTTCTTAGGTTAATACAAACCTCTTTTTATATAACCTTATTTAAATCTCACTCAGAGATGAACCATTCTACAGAGTGGTATTTTTATCTTATCGGCACATGTAGAACTTCTATATCTGACTTCTTTTTGTGATATTTTCATTTTATAATTTTTTTTTATTTTATTGTTTCCTTATAATTTACTACTTATTATATTTTTTTTCTTATTGTAAGAAATTTATAATTGTAAATTAAAGTTAGAATATTTATTTTTAAAATATTTTATAATTAATATTATTAATAAAATTTTAATTAAAAGAGATTTTCTGAAAAATTGGTTCAATAAATTTATCATCACCTTTTTCAGGATTTGGGATGTTATTGTTCAACACTTTATTTTCTTGACTTTAAGGAATAGTATTTTCTTTCTTAATATTTTATTATTCTTTTTATTAATTTTATTATTGTTCAATAAGACTATCATTATTATTTGTTTTAAGTGTTTTTAAGACATAAAAACTTCTCTTTTTATGTATTTTAATTTTTAAGTGTTGAAGAAGTTAGAAATATTGGTAAAGTTAATGTTTTTTTCTAATTAAATAGAGTAAAAGAGTATAAAAAGGAAGCACATACTTTTTCTTGGTAATATTGCATTAGTAATAGTAATACGAAATATTTATTAAGTGTATTAATGATTTTAAATACAACTAATTGAAGTAGAAGAAGAGATAAACATAAACAATGTAAAATCACAAAAGAAAAAAAAAATTTATGTTTTATATTTCAAAAAAAAAAAAATTGTTTAAATGAATAACAAAATAAAATAAACTTATAAATATAATGAAGTCTAAATTAATAGGAACACACGATGGTATTTTTCATTGTGACGAACTTACTTCATGTGTTATTCTGTTACTTACAAAAGAATTTATGGGAAGTAAAATTAGAAGAACAAGAGATAATGAAAAATTAAAAGAATGTGATGTAGTTGTTGATGTTGGAAAAGAATTTAATGTAGAACGTCATTTATTTGACCATCACCAACAAGGATTTAATGAACGATGGGAAGGATCACCTACATTATTTTCATCAGCAGGATTAATATATAAATATTATGGACGTGAAATTATAATAAAATTATGTAAAGGACCACATACAACATTTGAAGATGAAGAAGAAATCAAATGGTTTATGGATAAGTGGTATTTTTTTTATTTTGTTTCAATTGATGCAGAAGATAATGGATGTCCAAGAGGACAAAAACAAAATTATATTGAAGGGATGGGTTCATTAAAAAATATTATTGGTAATTTAAATGATTTAAGAGGAGGATTTGAAATTGGACTTACAATATGTAAATTAGAATTAGTTAAATCATTTTATAGATTATTAATAAATTGGAGACCAACAGTAAAAAAATATCCTGCAACATATTTTAAAGAAGAAATTGTTTTTATTGATGATCAAAAAGCTGATTGGGTAAGTTTATGTGAAATGGCATCATTAAATAAAAGTACATTAGTAATTGTAAAAAAAGAAAATAATAAATTTATTGGAAGAATTGTAAATGATAGATTAAATCCTACCTTTTCTTGGCCTAAAGAATGGAGAGGAATGTATGGATATGAATTAAAAAAGATTATTGGAAATGGAGTTATTTGTTGTGATAGAACAGGAACTGAAATTGTTTGTGAAGATTTAAAAACAGTAGAAAATGCATTATCTATTGCAAAAAAGATTCAACAATAATTGAATTAAAACAGTTTAAAGTTTTTTGTTATTTAAAGAGTATTATATTAATGGAATTTATCGCAAATTTTTTGTTTTTTAATTTTTTAATAAAATTTTTTAATAAAATATTTTAAAATTGGAAGTTAGTCTGAAGATTATTTTTGTTGTATAGATTTCTTCAAATCATGCAACCATTTTTAAGTATCTATTTTAAAAAGAAAGGAAAATGAAAAGAAGTTAAATGTTCTAATAATTTTAGAGCATCTAGAATTAGTTTGTTTTATTAACATGTCACAAAAAGTTACTATCACTGTTGAAGAGTATATTCAGATGTTAATTAATGAAAAAGAATTAAAGGTATTAAAAGATGAAACTCTTCATCTTCTCAATGAAAAAGAAATAAATAAAACATTAATTAAAGAAATGGAGATGAAAAATAATATTCTCAGTGAAGTGGTTCAACAAGAAACTAAAAAATATGCACAATTAGAATATAAAAAAAGATATTTAGAGAATAAATTAAATCAATTAGAAAATGATAAACAATTAAATGATAAAGAAAAATTAGAAATATTAACTGAAATAAAAACAAATTTAAAAAAACAACCAAACATATTTATTCAACAAGAATATCCACAAGAATATCCATTTGATGAAAAAAAATTGAATTTTACACATTCTTTTTTTTCTGAAACAATATCAAAACCAATAAATATAAAAAATACATATTTATTTATGCCAATATTTACTAAAAAAGAAATATCTAATTCATTAGGAAAAGTTACAGAACCAATGACTGATGAAATTTATAAAAAAGTTCTAATTTTTTTAAATGAAATTCCAAAAGATGAGAAGTATAAAATTACTACTAATAAAGTAGTTAAAATTACTCCAATATTTATTTTTGAAGTTCAATATGATTTATTTGTTGAGATATTTAAGTCATTTATTGAAAATAAAAAAGAAGTAGTACTTATTAATAAATATCCAAGTATATCATCGAAAGTTTTATTTCAAGAATATTGTAATCAAGCAGGAATTCATTGTTTAAATTCTACTTATGATGAAAAAGCAAGATGGCAAAGAATTCATATTGCAAAGTTTAATAAATGTATTATTGAATTAGAAAAACAAAGAAAAAAAGATGGTCTTAATATAATGTTTTCTTTTGTTAAACACCGATATCCTCGTTTTCAGTTTATTGGTTTAGGTAAAATGTAATATCCATCCTAAAAAAAAGTATATCTTTCTTTTTAGTTTGTTATTTCAATGATTTATTTAATTCTTTTTTTTGTTGTTGTAATTTCAGTATTTTAGTAATTTTGTATAACAATTGTTTTTATCTTTATTAACTGTTATAAATTGTTATCTAATTACTTTATTATTTACATTATTTTTTTGTTTTTAGAAAAAATTATTTTATAAGTGATACAAAATAGTTTTTGAGAAGTATCTTTAGAGTAAAAAAAATATCAAAGAAATAAGAGAATGTTATTATTGAAGAAATTTATTTCTCTTCTATCATAATAAATTCATTATATGAAAAGAATGAAAAACGAAGAGATAAAGAACATTAATTAATAACATTAACTAATAAATTGAAATTCAGAATAACTGCTTGTTTCGGTATTAATTGAAATCAAAACAAAGAAAAAATAATTTGTAATTTATAATTGTTTGATAATAAGTTTAAAAAGAAATAAGACAATAACTCTTATGTTATTGTAATAAAAAACAAACATTAAAAAAATGAATTTAATTATTTTTCTTCTTCTGTAATTGGTCTTACATAAGCATCAACAATCATTCCACTTTCTCTGAGAGCTTTTTCAATAGAAACAAGACCAAGTTCCATAACATTTTGTAAGTTAGCGAATTCCAATTTCATTGAAGATTTATGAATTGCAAGTCCAGTTTTACAAAGATCAACTAATCTCATAACCATTGTATATAAATTATCAACATCTTCAGCAGAATATTTATTAATATTTTCTTCACTAAAGAAAGTATTACAAATAGCAAATAAACCACCATTAACATTAGCACAAAGAATACCCATTAATAATCTTTGAAGTTGAGGAATTTTATTAGCAATAGAATTAGGATTTTCAATAATCAAAGCCACTTTTTCAATTTGTTTTTCAATATCATCCATACAAGAAAGAATAGGAGTAAGAATAACTTCTTCTGTAAAAATAATAGGTTCTCTTTCAAGAACAGAAGGGAGGTTTTTCTTTGTTGTCATAATTGTTCTTTTTTTACAAACTTTAGATAATTCATCTAATTTAGCACCGTCAAGAGTAAATGATATTTCACTTGCAAATGTATTTGTTGAAATAAATTTATCAATAATCTTTTTTTCTTCTGTACATGGAGAAACAGAAGATACAAAAATATAATTATCATCTTTATTTAATTGTTCTAAGTTAGAAAGGCTTTTTGTTAATAAAATTAATCTTGGTGTTCGTTTATATGAATTTTTCATAAATTCAACAAATTCACCTGATCTTAATGAACTTCTATAAACATATTCAAATAAATTCTGTGTTTTATTATTAGTATTTACTGAAGCATCACTTTGTTGTTCAAAAATATTTGTAAATGCTTGACCATAAAATGATACTCTATAAAAGAATCCAACATAAGTATTTAATTCAATAATTTGTTGATACAATTCTGTAACACTTGAGTGACATGCAGATAATGCTTTAAAATCATGAGTTGAAGCACAATAAGGAATAATAAAATTAAATAAAGTAATAGCATAATGTTGTAAATTTTGTTTTTTAAATGCATCAGCGGCTTGAATTACCATTTTTAATAAGAACCTTTGATTTAAAAATCTAGAATTATTTAAATAACTAGAATTAAATACATTAAAGAAATCAACAGTAATTTCTTTAAGACAATCAATATTTAAATCGATTTTAATAATATTATTTTTTCTAAGTACATTATAAACTGAATTAATAATATGAACACATGCAACTCCTGCTTCAACAAAATTATCTCTTTTTTCTTGATTAACAATTAATTTCTCATACCATGTAAGATGTAATTCTAAACTTTCTTTATATTTTTCTGCAATAGAAAGATATTTTTCATTAATTAATTCTGCACTTTGTTCTTTAAGCATTTCTCTAAGACTTCTAAGATCATCTAAAATCATTTTAACATATTGTTCTAATAATCCAATTTCATCAATAAATTTTTCTTTAAAAGTTTTAATTGTACTATCTTTTTCTGTTTCTCTTTTAAGACCAATTGATAATGCAAATGTTTCATCTTTCATACTATATTCTTGAATTAATTTTAAATCATTTACTTCACATAATTTTTGAATATCATCATCTCCTTGTGATAATTCTTTTGCTTTTTCTGCAACTGTTAATAATTCTTTAGTTATTTGTCCTTTTTGTATTGCTTTAACAATTACTTTAACATATTTAGAATATTCATTTCTTTTTTCATTTTTACTTCTTTCTTCTTTTTGAATAACTTGAATTCTGCTATAATTTTTAATTAACACTTGTTTCCATGATCCCATATTTGCTGCTCTTCTATATAATTCTCCAAATAATTTTTCTCCAAGTAATGCTTCATCTTGTAAAATAGTTTCTTTATTTATTACTTGATCAAATATTCCTTTCCCTTTTTTTAATGGTGCCATAATTAATTTTATTGATCTATAACTTTCTCTATCTTTTGTATATTTTTCAGTAACATATTGCATTGATTTCTCAATAACTGGTATTTGTTTTATTAATTCTTCTGCTCTTTCAATGATTTTATTTATATCTCCTCCCATTTCATATGTTTTAATTTCATCTACTCCAAGACACCATTCATAAACTTTAATAAGTTCTTCTGCAGAAGCTAATTGTTCATGACTATGTCTTGTAATTTCAATATGACTTTTTTCATATTCAACAATACTCTTTTGTAATTCAATTAATTGATTAAAAAGATTAATGGTTTTTGGTAAAATTGTTTCCCATTGTTTATATAATACTTCCCATACATTAATTCCATTTTTTCTTTCATCTTCTTTTCTCATTTGTTCTTTTTTTTCTTTAATAAGCTTTTCTAATACACCAAGTCCATTACCAATTTCTTCTAAATTTTCACCAACATTCTTATTATTATTTACTTCATTCTTCTCTTCAAGATGTTCAAATACTTTACAATATTCTTCCCATATTAATGTTCTATCTTTTTGTTGTAATTCTTCAAATTCTTTAGTATTTTTTTGTGTTTGTGTTTTTGCATTAATTTCACTATCTAATGTATCATTTCTAATTTCATATAATTCAATAACACTATCAACAATTTTTTCTACATCTTCTTGTTTAATAGGAAAATCAACTTGAATTAATCTAAATTTAAAATATGTGTCTTTTATTTCTTTTAATACTTTTTGAAGTTTATTTAAACATTGTTGTTTTATAACAACAAATTCATCTCTTCTTTTTTCTATCATTAATCTTCCAAGAATTGTTTTAATAATATCTAAGAAATCATTTAATTGATAATCAATACATGTTCTTAATACTTCTGCTTTTTCTTCATTTTTAACTCGTATTCCAATTTCATTTTTAATTCTTTCAAGTGTTTCTTCAATATCTGATGTCATATCAATACTCCATCTTTCTTCAAGATAAATAACAACTCTTCTCATTGATCTCCAAATACCTTCATTAATAGACTTTTGATTTTCAATAAGTTTTAATAATTCAATTCTTTTTTCTATTACTTTTCTTCGATAAATATCATATCGATCTTCATTTTGATTAATTTCTTTTTCTTTAACTTTAGTAATAATATCTTCTGCAAAATCTAATGAAATCCATTGTTTTAATTTGGCAATTGATGATTGTACATTACTTTCTTCTTCTGGAAGAAGTTTTCTTGATGCTAATGAACTAGTAATATGAATTTTAACACAATTAACATTTTCATCTCTTTCAAAATTACTTTTAACAAAAAGATATAATACAGATGTAGCATTCTTTCTTGTTGATGGTGATGAACTACCACATAATCCAATAATACCATTAATTAAATCATAACAAAATGTTGGGTTTTGAACAAATAAATAATCTGAATTTTCTATTACAATTTTTCTAATAAACGCCATAAAATATTTAAAAAATGTTGGTGCTGAAGTTACTGTAAATGATGAAATTATTAATTTTGTTAATTCACTCATAACTTCATTTCCTGATGATAAAAATCTTTTATTAAAACAATGCATAATTATTTCTAATATAACTAATAACGCACTGTCTACAACATTACTATTACTCATTCCTCTATCTTCAAGGACTGATGAATCATATGATTCTGAAACATCATGAAGATTACTTAATATTGATATATTTGAATTACTTGTTTCTGAACAAATTACATTAAATACAACTTGTCTTGCATCTTTTTGCATTTCATTTATATTTCTAAATAATGGTTCTACATCAAAATTTAAATCTCCAATATATTTTAATGCTACTTGAAGAATTTTTAATAAATTAGCAATACGTTCAGGTGAGTCTTTATTAATTAAATTAATTAATGTTCTTAAATCCATATTTTTTAAAATCCAGAGTAGATATAAATAAAAATGTCTTATTTCATTTAAATCTATACTTTTTTGTATTTTTTTAGTATTAATAACTCCTTTTGATAATGAATGTGATGTTCTTGCTGCTAATTGAAGTGGTGGAGCAGTAAATGATTGTGGAAGAGTTGTAAGTCTAGAAGAAGAATTTTGAGGTGTCATAACTGGAGTAAGAAAAGGTGTATTACTATCATCTTCAGAATCTGTTTGATCAAGAGTATCATCTTCAGAATCATCTTTACTAAGATCATCATCTAATTCAATTCTCCAAAATTTAATAATTTGTTCTGCATGAACAATAATATAATCAATAAAAAATACATAAAATTCTGAAATTGCTGCTTTTTCATGTGGTTGTTGATGTCTTGGATCTAAATCTAATTTAACAGCATCTCCAATCATAGAATATAATGCTAATCTACAAACACAATCATTTGTTCTTAACATTTGAAGATATTGTCTTTGAATATATGCTGCTAAAAAATGATGAGAAAATGCAGTAGTATAATAATCACTAATATGAATAACTGATGTAATTCTTGGTGCATTGCATTCATAGAAATAAGTAAATTGAGATAAATGTTTTAAAACATCAACTTTTAAAATTTGAACGTTTTTCCAATTTTTTAAAGACTGAGCATCTAATTTAGAACTAATTACACTTTTTTTTGATACTTTTTCATGAGAAAGAAATATTGTTTCAGTTTCAGAATCTTCAACACAACATAAAGTAGAAATATAAATATCTAAACATTCCATAGCTGTTTTTCTTGAATATCCTCTTATTAACATTAATAAAAATTGTGCAATAGCATTATTACTACTATAAATATAAGTTGTTGCTCTTGAAGCAACACGTTGTCTTAAATATTGAGCAAAACATTTAAAGAATACTTTTAATTGATTATTAAAAGGAACACAAAACTTTTCATCATTTTGAATTTTATCATATTGATATAATAATTTTGCAGCATCTAAATAAATAAATAAACTTTTTTCTATCATTTTAAGAAATACTGGAAGCATTTCTAATGTAGTTTCAAGATATTTTAATTCAAATACTCCATCTAATTTACCAATTTTTTTTGCATTAAGATAATTAGAAAAGAATTTAGTTAATGAAGTAGTTAAAGGTAAAAATATAGCAGGTTTATTTGGTTTATTTTCTAAATAAAATTTTGTATATAATTCAAATGGTACTCTTTTTGGATTATTAAATTCATCACATACAAATAAATGAGAAAGTAATATTAAATATTTAAATGCATTTCCACTTTCTTGTTCATTTTCTTTTATTAAAGAATTTGAAGATATTCTTCTTTGTAATGGTGAATTAATAATACTTCTTGGACTTGAAATAGGATTTTTATCAATATTATCATTTTTAAATAACCCAAGAATAAGATCAACTAATATTGGTAATGTATGTGTTAAATCCATATCAAATTTATGATTTTTATCAATATCTTCACGTATTTCTGTAAATGCATTTTCAATACTTTTTGATGATTTATAATTTGTATGAATAGAACTTATTAATCTATGAACATTTGAACTTTGTGTATAAATATTTGATACAACTCTTAAATTAAATGTTAATGTCATTGTTTTTGTTTTATCTCCTGTTTCAGTTGGTTTAGTTGTAATATAATTTTCATAAGGAAGACCATTATAAACTGGAATTGTTTGTTCACCACTTTGAATAATTCTACCCATTTGAATAAATGGAAGAAAAGCAAAATATGAATTAATTACCATTTTTTCCATTGGAAGATTTTGTTCATTAGTTAATAATACTTCTTGAATAACAAATAATAAATGGTGTTGTGGAGTTAAAACAATTGGTAATTTTGCTTTAATTTCATCTAAGAATGTATCATTTTTTGCATTAACAGAAACACTTGTACTTGCTTTTCTTAAAAATATAGGTTTAATACTTGATTCTGAATAAAATAAAGGAAGATAAGTATCTTCTCTATGAAATTTAGTATCTTCTTTTCTAATATAACAATGAATAATATAACTACATTTCTTTTTTTCATGTTGAATAGTTAATTCTTTAGGATAAATATATATATTATTTACAAAGTCTGTAAAAAACATTTGATTTGTATTAAATTGTGTAAAATCTTCTAATTGTTTAATATATGTATTTATACTTCCACTTGTTGGATTTTTTTTATATTCAAACCCACTTGGATCAAATACTCTATATGCACTTGTATCTTGAATTTTCATTACTCTTAATTCCCATGTTTTAATTCCAATTGGTCTAACTTTTCCTCCACATATTTTATCAATTAATTTTAATAAATCATTGTCATTATGAATATTTTCTTTATACATCCAAAGAGGATATCCTCTTTCTTCACTTTTTAATTCAGTAATTCCTGTAAAAATATGTTGTTTATAAAATTTATAAACACTTTTATTAAATATTTGTTCTTTTCTTTTTTCTAATTTTTTCTTTCTTTCTTTTTTAATTTCTTCAATATCAATTTTATCTTCTTTTTTAATTCCATCATCATCATTATTACTGTTGGTATTTTCTTTTATTTCTGTTTCTTTATTTTCATTTTCTTTTCTTTCTTTTTCAAATTCTTTTTTTTCTGTTTTATCTTTATACAATGTTTTAGCGTCTTCAATGTCTTGTTCTGCCATTTTATAAAAATACATTACTCCATAAAACTTTCTTTCTTTTGACTCAATTCCTTTTAATTTAACTAAAAATTTACAACATGTAGTACCTTCATAATCTTCTTTTTCAATTTGTCTTACAATTCTTTTATTATCTTCTGTATTTAAATCAACAAAATAATTCTCTGTTACTTTAACTATACTTTCTCCTTCATTTATTACTTCATAAATTGCAAATTCTCCAAAAAATGGTTCATACTGAACTAAAGATCTTGCTTCAATTTGCATAACAAATGTAATTCCTCCATCATTTGGATTAGTCAAATTAATAACTTTTTCAATAGAATTTGATTTATGACTGTCATTACTATAATTTTCATATAAATTCCCTTTTACTGTTCTAATATCAATTATAGCTTGTTTTCTTAATAATTTAGTATCTGGTTCATCATTTAGTTCAACATCTGATTGAGTAGTTTGTGTTACTTGTTGTTTAGGAATTTCAACTTTATTATTTAATAAACAAACTTCTGTAGTTGAATTTAATAACATTCCTAAATATAATTGTTGTTCTGCTCCAATTATTTCTTTTTCTGAAATAATATTTTGTGTTGTAACTGTACAATTCATAGGTTTAATATTATGTTGTATTGTTAAATCACCATTAGTGTAATTAGTGCAATTATTTGGTACTCCGTCTTCTTTTAATTGTGTTTCAAAAATATCACACCATTTGACTGGAGTTGTTTTCTATTCATAAGTATTATTATTGTTATTATTACCATTATTTTTTTATATCTATTCAATTTTTGTTTAATTTAATTAATTAATAAAACAAACAAATTCTTGTGGTGTATTAAAATAATTAGCTTTTATATCTTCATAAAATTGTTGAAAATCTAATAAATTTAATCGCTCTCCTGTAATTAAATTTTTTTTTAATATTTTTTTAATTTGTTCATCAGAATAAAACAACGAATGACTTTCAAAGAATTTCCTTATTTGGAAAAAATCTATTTCTTCTAAATCATCATAATCAAGTTTTTTAAATTCTGACTTCGCTTCATTTTTTCTTGTGCTTTGATCAATTGAACTTTTTCCTCTTCTATGAGAAATTTCAACATTAGCTTCATGTGTTGGTTTAAACCCATATTTTTCAAGTAATGTAACCATCCTTAAACTATAATATTGAGATTTCTTTTTTTTTTGTTATTTTTTTCTTTTTTTTTCTTTATTTGTTTTTTTTTATAAGATAAAATTTTCCTGAATAAATTCAATTTACCATATTTCATCATCATCAACAATGAAACTGTCATCACTCTTTTCTTTTTTTGATGACCTTGTTTTTCTTTTTGGTTTTGGATCTTCATCTTCTTCATCTTCTTCAAACATTTCTTCATCTTCTTCACTCATTTCTTCATCAGTAGAATCACTTTGTATTTCTTCTACTGATCCATTATCATTTTCATCATCATCAATAAAAACTGAATCACTTTCATCATCATCTTCTTCTTTAACAGTCACTTTCTTAGTCTTCTTTTTTCTTGATGTTTTAGCAGGAGTATCAACAGTATCATTTTCTTCTTCTTTTGAAGCTTTAGTTGTTCTTTTTTTCGTAGTTTTCTTAGTTGTTGATTTTTTCGTTGTTCTTTTTCTTTTTACTTTTTCATCACCACTCATACTTGAATCTTCATCTTTTCGTTTTCGTGTTGTAGTAACTTTTTTAATTGTTTTTTTCTTAATCTCAGTATTTTCATCTGGCATTGTTTTCCATTCATAATCTTCTAATCTTCCTTTATATTTTTTAGCTAATTCACTAGGACTTTTATCCATTATAGAAGTTGTTAATGCTACTTTTCTACTTGTTTTTTTAGTTGATTTTCCTTTCTTTCCCATAATAACTCTTTTTGTACTTTTGTCTCCTTTCTTTAACAAAATATCTTCTTCTTCTAACCATTGTGGATATTTTTTTACAAATGCATCTAAATCTTTCAACCACATATCTTTTACTGGTGTTGTTTTAATTGTATCAATTTGTGTCTTTAAGTCATCACAATCTTCCATCAATTTCTTTGCTTTTTCATATGTTAATGTCCAAATCTTCATACTCAACAAATAATCATATCCACCAACTTCATCATCTTCCTCTTCTTCTTTTATTTCATCATCTTCAGATTCACCAATAGGTTTTGATTTATTTGCTTTTTTGGGGTCTCTTATTTGGTCAAATCCAAATTTAATTAAATCCTTATATAACTCATTTTTCTTTCTGTTGTTAACAATTAATTCTCCTTCAATAACCATTTTAATGAACCTTGCTTTATTTGATAATATCATTAATTGTCTTTCCATACTTTCAATAATAGCTTTCTTTCTTTCTTCATAACCTTTCATTCTAACATCACAAAACTCTGATAAAATGTCAAGAACAGTATGATATTTAGTGATTTTATATTCAGAATTGAATAAATGCATATTTGTTGTCTTAACACTACTAACTAATTTTAAATTAGTCCAAATATCTTCATCACTCATTGGTTGGACTAAATCAATAACAAAATGCACTGTATTAACCATATGATATTCTGAATATCCTTTTACAATCTTTGCTTCAATACACTTTTCTAAATGTTGTTTATATGAATCAGTCCATATTTGAATAGGTAATTCAGTAATTTCAATTTTATCTTCAGATAATCTTCTCCATTTTCCATAACAATCATAACCACTTCCATCTTTATTCTTTCTTAATTGTCCTGTCCATCCTCTAAACCATGGCTTCATTTCTTTAAATTCCTCTCCATTTAAATATCTTCTACAATTATCTACAAGATCAAGAGGATTATAATTTGAAACGGCAGTACTCCATCCTGTTCCAATACCATCAGCTCCATTAACTAATACTGTAGGAATAATAGGGAAATAATATTTTGGTTCAATTCTTCTATCTTCATCAATAAGATATTCTAATATTTGGTCATCATCTTTAGGACATAAATATCTACTAATACTTGATAATCGTGTATAAATATATCTTGCTGCTGCTTGATCTTTGCCTCCTCCTAATCTTGAACCAAATTGACCAGATGGTAATAACCAATTAACATTATTTGATCCACAAAAGTTTTGTGCCATATTAACAATGGTAGCTTGAAGAGATACTTCTCCATGATGATATGATGACTTTTCAGAAACAAGTCCAGATAATTGTGATACTTTTAATTCTTTCATAATATTTTTTTCTAAACATGTCCATAACACTTTTCTTTGTGATGGTTTTAATCCATCTACAACAGAAGGAATAGACCTTTCACAATCATCATATGAGAATAATATTAATTCTTTATGAACAAAATCTTCATAACTAATACTATCAACATCTTGATCAAGATATGTATTTGGATCATATCCTTTTAACCACTCTTTACGATCATCTGCTCTTTTTCTATTAAATGCTAAATCTATTACTTCATCTGAACCAGCTCCATCATATGCAAACTTAATTTTATGTGTATCAAGATCACTGAAATATGCTTTAGCATCAGAGTCTTTTGAAGTACCAAGACCCTTGTAATATTTAATTTCCCATTTTTTTAATTGACCTTCTTGAATTCTTGCATCTTTCCATTCATTAAATTGTGGTAATGTAAAGAATGAAATTTCTTGTTTCCCACGTTTAACTTTGACAATTGGTGTAATAAATTCAACTAAGAAATTATCAATTTTTAATAATGAAGGCCAAAAAGTATGGAAATAATTGATAAGTAAACCTTTAATATGTGAACCATCAAAATCTTGATCTGCCATTATCATAACACTACCATATCTTAATTCATCAATTGAAGTATAAACTTTACCATATCTAAGTCCCATAATTTTTGCAATATTTTCAAATTCATGATTCTCTTTTACTTTTGATGGTGCTATTTCTCTAGCATTTAATGGTTTTCCTCTTAATGGAAATACTCCATAATAATCTCTTCCTACAACAGATAATCCTGATACGGCTAAAGTCTTAGCTGAATCTCCTTCTGTAAGAATTAATGTACATAAATTTCCTTCTTTAGTTCCAGCTTTATTAGCATCATCTAATTTTGGAATTCCAGTAATTCTAGCTGTTTTCTTTCCTCCAGACTTATTTAAATCCATTTCACCTTTCTTAATAGCCCATGCAAGAATATCGTCAACAACAGATAATTTCCCTAATTCTTTGAAAAATTTATCACTTAACGATGGTTTTGATCCAAATTTATTAACTTGTGTTTTTAAAGTTTCTTTTGTTTGAGAATCAAATGCAGGATTTTCTATTAATGAATTGACAAATACAAAAAGATGATTTTTGATTTGAAATGGTTTAATCTCAGCACCTTTCTTATTTAACTTTTTCATCTTTTCAGCAAGATATTTAGTCATTAATCCTGTAACATAGTCTACATGAGTTCCTCCATGTGATGTATTAATAGAATTTACAAATGATATTTGCATAGGTTCACCTTTACTTGCACATACACAAATATCCCATCTTTCTCCAGCTTTCTCAGAAACTATTGGTTCATCACCAACATACATTCGAGCATATTCTGCAAAATTTTTAAAACAAACTTTTTTACCATTAATCCATATCCTTTTACCTGGATTACATCCTGCAATATCATATGCTCTTCTTATTAATAACATTCTAGCATCATCTTCCATTCCTTTCATTTGGAATCTTTTATAGTCTGGAGTAAAAGTAACTTTTGTATATTCTTCTACTTTTTTAACACTTTCAATTTCTGGTTCTTCTTTATCTGACATATTGTTTTTCCATGTTTGTTTATAAATTTTTTTTCCATCACAAGTTTCTATTGAAAATTTAGTAGAAAAAATATTAGCTAACTTTGCTCCATAACCATTTCTTCCACCAGTCACTTTTTTATCATCATCTTTATAATTTGAGGATGTTAAAAGATGTCCAAAAATTAATTCAGGAATATAAATATGTTCCTTTTTATGAATTTCAATTGGAATACCTTTCCCATTATTATAAACTGTTATTGAATTACCTTCAATAGTAACTTTAATAGTAGTCATTTTAGGATCTCTTTGGAAATTATCACTTGCATTAACAAGAATTTCATCATAAATTTTAAAAAGTCCAGGTGCTAATGAAATAACTTTTTGAATCATTCTTCCTTCACTATATTGTTCAGATGGTTCTTCATATATCCACACCTGTTCATCATTTCGTTCTACACTTCCAATATAAGTATCAGGTCTGGTTAAAATTTGTTCTTTATGTGAAAGCTTTACATAAATATCTTCAAGTTTTTCTTTCTCTTTGCTCATATATTTATTATATTGAGTTTTTTTTTTTCAACCCTTTCTATTTTTCATCCATTTTCTCAATTCTTGCTTTTTATTTCTTTCATTTTAAACGTTCTAATTTTTACCAATTTTTAAGCTGAAACATAGTCAAAACTGTTAAAGACAAAAAAAAAATTATCTAAACAATATTTTTATTATTAGTATTTAACTTTTTTAAAGTTTTTCTCTTTTTACGTTTGTTGAGGGTTTATTATTTCTTTTTTTTTTTTTTTTATTTTTTTATCGTTTGTTTAATTTTTGTTTTTTATTTTTAACAATATTTTAAATTTATGTTTTTAATACAGAAATATAAATAATTTATTTGTTTTTAAAGAAATAAAAAATAAAACTTCAAGAGAGGAGTAAAAAAGTAATAATAAAATATTAGAAGAGAATAGTAAAAAGAAAAGAAAATGAAAGAGAAACTTGAAAAAGAAAAGAAAGAGAAGAGATGAGTCAAATGTTCTTTGAGAATTTAATACAAAAATATCCTGATTATACAGAACAATGTAAAACACTTCAAGAAGAAAAAGAAAAGAAATTATATTTCCAATTAACAGAAGAAAGTGAAAAATTTGTTAATGATAGATTTTTACAAACAATTGGAGTAATTAGTGATTTTTATGAATTATTTATTCGTGACATACAAAAGAAAATTAATCCAATTAAATTAACTCAAATTGTTATTTCTGTTTGTAAAGGATTTAAAGATTATTCTAAAGCCATTGAATTAGTTAATAGTATTATGGGTGATGTTGAAAGTGATCTTGGAGCACGATGTTTATGTTATTCAATAATTGGATATTATAAATTGTTATTAAAAGACAACAATGGAGCACGTGATGAAATTGATAAATTAACAACACTTTTAGAACATGAAGAAGGATTAGAGGCTATTGTATATAGTCAATATCATTATTTATGTACATGTTATTATGAAAGTAAAAATGATGCAAATGAATATT